TATACTGTACAATGTCGGTAGTGGTTCTTGGCACAAGGGAAATATTTAGACAAATAATACTACGGTGACGAAATTTTCTCTGGCAATATGCTTGCATGTATGTCTGTGTTTTAATCCCCATATAATTACGTCTAAATTAGAATGGCATTCAAACATTCAGTTATTAGCAAGTATAATATTGAGTTACAAACTGTTCATATAGATACCTCAATGTATTATAAATATTCGTAAGCGTCAGGATGGAGGGTCCCTCATATTTAGGTTTAATCCACCGCGACATGAACATTGCCTCAAACTGTACATTTCGTACCCTTCAGGCTGAAGGGTACCTCATACTTGCATGTTTACTACATACATAGATTTTCCGAGTATTTTTTTTTTATTTTTTATTCAAATCACATATATAGAAATGAAAACTGACACAGAATTCTAGCCAATTGGCAATTTTCATGGCGGTACACTCAACACTAAAGGAATATTGGAAAGTCGTAAATATGGGGGGATTTGAGGGAAATGATATAGGATATTATAACAATTTAATAGATTATGTCTATATTGTTGACAAATAGGGTGAAAAGGCATTTTTATGGCGTTTTATTTGAAGTTAGGCTGCATTAAATTGAATAATACTTGGAAAATGTTGGTCTATGTTTGTATATAAGAGGGTTAAAAAAAATGATTGAAATTATCTTTGTCATCATGATCATTAAATGACGGAATCTGGGTTTCAAAACTATATGTGACTTTTCTTCAGATTTGAAATTTGCATGCGCAACAACGGGCGGTTTCCACATGTACAATAGGACCTGTTCAACTTTCCGGAACACTCGAGTCCAACTCGAATATTGGTAAGGGTTCAAATCGCACAATCTAAAGTTATCAGCAGTCCTAATGTTTTGTTATTGTTGTTTGTCTTTTCGTTGTTTTTATTTGTGGTCATACATGTTGTATGTTCTTATTCTACTTTTTCAACCTCTCTCTCTCTCTCTCTCTCTCTCTCTCTATCTCTCTATCTCTCGCTCTCTCTCTCTCTCTCTCTCTCTCTCTCTCTCTCTCTCTCTCTCTCTCTCTCTCTCAATTTTTTTCTTTAGATGACACGATGCGTGCCTCCGTATATTTTCTAGCCTTGAATTTCACAAACAGTAATTTTGTATGGAATATTGAGCACGAACAAACATGTAAGGCACGAACATTTTAACGGTCGCTGTAAGATCATTATCCATTTGCTTGTAAACACGTCGAATATTGTTTACTAAGTCCGAACTTGTATCTCATGTATTGTCTGTTCATGAACATAATATCATGTAATGACTAGTGGCACGCTGAAGGCGAGTGAAGGCATGACCATTTGTTAGAAATGGATATTTGTCTCATAGGCAAACATACCTCATCTCATTATTTTTATATAAAGTTAATGCTCGATGTTCAAAATTAAGGGGACAGAAAATGTGTGGAAATTAATCTTATTATAAGCTCATTATAAGAAATTAAAATAGTCATGCATATAATAAATATTTAACAGTCCACTGTCTTTTTCTCCGTTTTTATTTACACGTAAGTTTCGTTTTAAATTTGTTCTATAATAAATACAGTATCTTATGTTGATAAACACCTTTCATTTTATCATTATATTGACGTAGAGAAAGAAAAACAAATCTTTGCTTATATTTAATTAAATATATGTTTAACCTTATTCGTCGTTATGTTCGATGTTTTGATAACGCATGTGAACCGGGGTAGGATTACGTTTTCAATAATAATGTTTATATTCATTGTGTCCTTGTTTTACCAGCTAGAAAAATCCTCTCGGAAATTTTTCTTACACATTGGGCTACGAATTTATAATTAGACCAAACTGACCCAAAAAGTAGACAGAAATGCCACATGTAATGATTCAAATCTACGTGTATAAGTCCTTAATCTCAGGATTATCATAATTATATCAAGAATTTATATAGTACATGTATATGTATTTCGCCTTAAGAAGTAAACATAATTTTTACATTAAATACCCATAAAGCCGTATTACACGCCCACATTTTACCCATTGAATAAACTTATTGATTCAAATAAATAAAGCGTTTGTATACATACACTTTTGACTTATTCAAGTAAGACGTTTTTATTGAAAAGATGCTCTTTCTTATATCTACAGTTAAATGAGCATTTAATTATACAATGAAATTGAATGAACATCATTTTCATCCAAACATTCTGTAAACATTTAATTATCAGACATTTTTATCTCAATTCTTTATATTATAAAATAATTGAATACCCGGTGTCTGGTTTCGTAAGAATATACAATATACCGGTAAATCCCCGCGTTACATACTAAAGGTTACGGTATACATTGACAAGAAATTAATTGATCCAGGACCGTTTTTAGCAAAGTGGCGTATACAGTGTGTATTGATCAGTTGATTTTCTTATTTCTGTCGTCCTGAATATGCAAGAAATATTTGACACTGGACGTTAAGCATGTAACAATCGATCAACCTTATTTATGCATTGTTCTGTTACATCTTACATCTTTGCAATGGTAGACTAACGATTCAATATCTAATTTGTTAAATCTATATAACTGTTATTTGTTTGTTTGTTTTTTTGTCTTATATTGATATTTAAAAAGTTTATTGTGTATATAAGTACGCTTTAACGGAAACAAATGATGGACCTACAGACAGCAGACAGTTATAACATTATTATTTTTCCAAAATCGAATTTATATAATATGATAGCTGGGACTAAAATCTAGATAATAGTCCCCGATAACAGCTTCATAAAACGAGATCAACTTGAATCAGTCTCTCGGCTATACTTATACCACTCCTATCGGGTAATATCTTTTGATATTTGACCAATAACTGATGAGTTGTTATGTCATACATTTGGATTAATTGATTAATCGATTGTTGGTGTTTAATGCCACTTTCAGCACTCTGTGTTATTTTGAGGTGACCTGTTTTTATTAGAGGAAGCCGGAGAGAACCACCAGTCATACAAGAGGATGGTTTGAGATAAGCGAGTCACTAAATCTGGTTTAATCAACCTCTGCTATCGTTTGATATATGAAGTCCGAGTTTGACAGTAAACCGTCAGGATCGTTTGAAATAATCTATCGAAAAGTAACAGTTTATGGACATTTGTTCTTAGGGATAGCGCTGATTTTTATTACTAATGTCTTCCTAGTCGAATGAAACATTTTCCCCCAACACAGTCTTAACAGATTATGGTTTTCATTTGATTAATGCAATTATTGGCAATGAATACTAAAACCTTAGTCCATAGTGCTAGTAAGGGTCGTAAAAGAACGTTTAGTAGTATTGAATTACCATGGTTAGTATATGTTTTAAAACTTCAAGTACAATAGTAACTTTTCTTAAGTATATATAAATATACAAGGTAGGGAGAAAGTTTAAAACTTTTGAAAGTTTTGTTTGTATTAAACGGACTGTGTTTGATTTTAGTTAGAATCTTAATTTCCACACCTCGCTATAAATGCTCATAATATTTCTTATAGAAATCTATGTTTAAATAAGACCTCTTATGCGTTATATAAGTAACCATTTTGTCTACAATGAATTATTATAATTTTAATTGAAAGGTGGACTTGGGAAAAACTCGATGAGTAGAAAAATGGCAGCTCTATAATTATGTCATTAAATAAAGAGCTTTTACTGTCTTGTTAAGAATGTTTGAGTAGTCTCTTGGTCATTCTCTTTTAAACTAATAAAAACAAATCAAATAGATTACAGAAAACACTTTTGTTTGAGTAGCCGCCACTTTGTTTTGTCAGAAAATGTTAAAAATTACATTAATTTCATTATTTACAATGTTAACTACATAAAGTTACTATGTTTAAATAATGAGGTAAGAACTTCAAGATAGAATTAAAATTTATCATTCTTGTTATAATTATTTAAATAAACATCTCCTTTTAAATAAATTAGAAACATGTTTTTTTCACTATCATGCACTTGGTCACTGGGTGCATCTAATTTTTTATACTTAGAATAATATCATGTGACATGTTATATAATATTGGGTCATTTCCAGTCACCGCCTCCACTGGGTGCATTCACTCAAGATACGATCAAAACAGACGACAATAGAAACACGGCGGTAAAATGTGTCGTCTGATATATATTATTCTTCTACAGAATTTTTGTCATTTCAATTCTTACAAAAAAATGAAAATAACGCTACGCCTCTGGTTTAATAATGATATTCAAAAATGTTGGTGTACGCTTTCAACCATTACCATGAGCAAATTAGACCGAAAAAGGGAATTAAATAGGTGTACTGTTGTGTTTTTCAAAAATTGTCTTCAAATAGTATCTGTATTATTTTATGTATATTGTGCACCTATATAATAATAAAATTCCGTCGGATAACGGGTAATTAATGATAATGAGATTGTACGATAAAATCTCTGTATTATTGATGGCTTTACACTAGTGCAAGACGTGTTGCACTCACCTTTCAATTAAAAAAGCATATTTATTGAACATATTTCAATTCATTGACACCTAAAGTATAATTCGCTATCGCTTACACCTACGTATTCATTACAATTTCAAAATTACGTATTTTGTTTCGCAATTTTTGTAAAACATCTGATCATCAAGTAAATTGCCATAATATTTTCTTGTCGATTAATTTCCCACAAAGGACGCGGTTAAAATCAGATTAACTAAAAAATCAAAACAGAATCAAATTTACCTTTACATTTATAGGTGTAAAATACCTATGTTGGAAAAACTACAATTAAATTCAATAAAGCATGTACAAACAGCGATAAGTATTGCTCATTTCAATCTATTATATTCAATATCGTTTACTTTAATAAATCGCCTCATATTTATATTCGTCTTTCTCCACGATGTATTAATTGTTGTATTTGAATTAAGGTTATGGTTGGTTAGTTCGTATGTGATGTAAAATTAAGGGGGTAGGCGAAAAATAATTAACAGTAAGACATCTTTTTCTCACTACAGTGCCATGTGTGCCTGGATGTAATCTGATCCCCCGCCAGAACTGATTAACTACACATCGTCAAGTTTGTTTTAATCCATTGCAGATACCAGATGAGAGAGAAAAAGTTTTTACGCTAAGAGAAAACACATACTGAGAGAAGTTTCATAAAGTAAGAAGAATTTTGTGTCATTTCGGAAATCAATTTTAAGAGTCGAAGTACACAGTGTTACGGCGTGAAAAGTGTACAATAGAGCAGTTATCTTATTAAAGAGGAGTGATTAAAGATACGGTGTTGTTGATTTCACTGGAAATGTAATTAGTGTGACAGTATTTGATGGAGTAATTAGTTGTTGTGGGAAAATGGATATCAGGAATTTAATTCTGTCCTTTGTATGGATTTACTACCAATATTTCAGCATTGTTTTATCCTCAGCATTGCCGGATACCATTATCATTGGTAAGTAAAATTGTAAATTGGACTTTATTATCAGTTACTGTAGTAAAATTCTATTTATAAGATTTAATATATTGCAGTTTTATCTCTCCTTTGTTTCAGTTGGTATTCAATTACAGTAGAGGATGTATACGGGCTATTTTATTACTTCTAACTATGAACACAACTTGTAGCTGGGTTCTTAATTTATGTTTTTATCAAATTACACTTGATACTGTGCGAACGTTTTTTTGTAACCAGAGACATTGGATACATAGTTTAAATGTTTCTCAGTTTTAATTTGATAGATATTGTTACATTTTATAGATATGGTCGCGTTTTATTTTTATATACACGTTTTACTTACTAAACAAGGATAACGATCAAGTATATCCAAATTTTCCCAATTTGGTCAGTAAAAGCAGAGACATATCTCCCATAATTTTATGACGATTTTAAGTTCCATAGGAATTTTATTTATCAAAATGTGGAACTGTATACATGTATCTTTAACAACACTCCCGTGCAAAATAAACCCTTCGATTATATGATATTTTTCCAATAACTCGTCATATCAGACATTTATATTCAGAAGTAACACTTGTCCCAAATTGTCCTTGCAGTTGCACAATGGTTCAAAAGTAAATAAATGCCACACAACATGCCATTTTTATTATCATTTGATATACAACGTGGGGAAAATCAAAGACCCTTTGTCGCCCTGTGATGACCACATGATAAAGTCTGTTTGTACTTGTGTTAATTACTGTGATGTGTATAATCTAATTAGCTCTCCATCTTCTGAAGATGTCAGATTATTGAGAGATTACGCAGAAGGAGGGGGCTTCTCAAAGTATTTATCAAAACATAAAATATCTGTTTATTTTACGACAAACCTTGAAATTTTAGGATTTATGATTAACGGTTATTTGGAAATACCATGTTGTATAAAATATTTAATTTCTTTATGAAAAATAGAGAAAGAAGACCCCTACTATCATAAGAAATGTACATGAAATTGAAATGTATGACTTTTATTTTTAAATCAATTTTCGAATTTTAAACGACTGATCGTTAAGAATTTAGACCATTTAAATAAGACATTTATTTTTTACACTTTACACCCCTAAACAAAAGAGCTACATGATATTACACAATTATCTTTTTTCAAATAAGCAGTTTAATTCGCGGATAGGAAAACATGTGACGTTGCGTTACGTGATAAAACATAAAACACGAAAAAGTAAGCGTTAGAATTAAAGACATAAATTATGTTATTGTATAATAGTTTCAAAACATTATATACTAGTATTCTGAATGTAATATGAGGGTTACAATTTAATTCTATTAATTCAAATTTTTAATCTATGTAATATATGTAGGTTTCTTATTTCTCAAAACATTGTTTAATCTCATGATTAAATGGACATAAATTAGCAATGGTTCAATAATCATCGTACCCTAGTCGCAAATATTTCATATTGTCCTTCAAAAATTGTCATCGGATTCAAATATATTAGTTACATTTCTTTGTTTTGATGAATGGTTTGTTGTCCAATGGCTAATACTGTTAAATATTCAATGGTAATTATAATTTGTAGCTACATACGTGACGGAAGTGAAATATTTTGCATGCTGCAATTTTGACCCGATATTTTCAATTCTTATTTATTTATTAGGACTAGCAACCTATTTACATGTATACGAATTCATCACACTAAAAACAAATGTATTTTAATAAACGTGATATATATATATGTAACATATTTTGATGACATTGAAGATTTTGTTCTTCCAAATTTTGATGAATAACTTGACGCTGTAACTTCTTTTTGGAAAATTCATCGAACATACAATTAAAAAATAACTAAGATTCGTTGCAGTCATGGAAGTTGTGAATGTTAGTTTTAGTAACTGATCGAGCACGTGGTGCTTAACAAACAAATATACATGTACTAATTGTATCTGGGTGTACCCTAAGATTATATTCATAACCTCAGACAAGTACAAGTGCACAAGAAGACAATATACAATAATACGTAGCGAAACAGGACAGACAAAACACAAATAAATAGTGTGGTATAAACGACATTTAATATTAACTGAAGCATTTCATAATTTTCTTAACGAAATTGATAAAATGTTTTGCACTTGAAACGTTACATTAAGTAAGCAGACCAGTAAAGTTATTCATACTTAGATTATTACATAAAACTATGGTATACACTTTGATCTAAGCCATGTAAGAGCAGAAATATCAGCATTTGTACAGGTAAACAAAACATGAAACTCATCACCTACGATCGACATGAGCTACGGTAGATCATTAAGCTGTTTAAAAGCATCTTTAGTCCCATTGTTGTTCGAATCTCATCACTCCCCACGTTATGTAATAAAAATATACGGTGTCGGGACCACTGTCCAGAAATTTTAGGATGTTTTTGTTTCGAAAACAACCTCATCATTTTGCTGTTTCTTAAAGTACCAGTCGTTGACCGTATGCACCTTTTGGTCAGTTCACATGGTTCACAGATCACTATTCAAGGATAAACAATACATCATTATAGGGTTGGCACGATGAACTGTAAACCATTCCCATAAACATTGTGTAAATGACGTGTAAACATTCTCCTCCGACAGACATGACAGAAATAATTACTATCAGATACTGCAAACCTATAAAACTACTGCAACAATAAATAATTCACATTGATTGCTGCACCAGAAATATTTCTGAAAAATTGACCAGTCAAAAACAAAAACAAAACAAATGCCTTAAATAAAAACAAAACCAAAACAAATGCCTAAAATAAAAACAAAGCAAAAACAAAATGCTATGAGCTTTTTGTTGAAGTACTTGAAACATTGAACTATGGGCTATTTCCACAGGCACTTGTCTCTGAAAAAAATTCAAGGTATCAATCTTTTTTCAGAGACTAGTGCCTGTGGCTATTTCTCAATTTAAAGGTTTTATTTATCATACAACTAACGCTTTATTGTGTATATGTTTTGTTTTAGTCATACATGTGTATTGTATATGTAAGGGGAGGACTTAATGTAAGTTGTAATAACTTTTGTTCAATCCATTACTTGATAATTATAATAAAGTATTATTAGATTAAATAAAAATGAAAGTTTTCCAATGCAAAAATGCATTTTTATGTATCACCATAATAAGGCATTCCAGTAGTTCATGCATATAAGTTTATGATATCTTAATTGATCAAACTTTTTAAGGCTTGTGTTTCCCATTATTACTTCCTTTAAAAGGGTTGCTACTTACGCGAAAGTTGAGCCATGAGTTCCTAAAGTTAAAGACATCTTTGGTAGTTTTACGTTACCATAATTTGGTTGACGATTTGGAATAGCAGTGATAGTCAAGATAGTCGTACACACAATCCAAATGTACTCCTTTTTATCATTTATGCGATTTATTAACGGATTTTGTTTGTCATGATCCAGGCGACGAGAACTGCTTACCCTTCCGGGGCTCCTAAGTTAACTATATTTTGGATTGGGTCATGTTACACAGTCTTTCTTTTGTGTGTGTATTTTTGTTTTTTGTGATCTGTTGTTTGTCTTTGTGTTTTTTCTTCTTCTTTTGGTCTGATTACTATTGACTGCCACATTTGTACCTTAGAAAAATCAATGATAATTTAGTACTATACAAATTGAACTTCTCTATAAACATTGTAAAATGACTAAAATTGCTTAGTTTTCTCTTCCTTCATGTCTTATATCAATAAATACATACAGATACAGGTACAGTTGATATGTAACCACATGTGATATGCACATGACAACAGCCTTTTATTACCTTCACGAAAACGCCTAAAAAAGAGGCGTTTTCTTTTCAAATGATTACATATGATACGAGGTGGATGCAAGCGAGACAACACTTCAATTTATTCGCGATCAGCTATTTTACTATTCAACGAAAGGTGTGTGTAGTAAGCTTATGCGACCTTATATGGTAATCGTATAATCATGATTATGTGGTACATTATTTCTCCATTGCGGTACATTATTTCTCCATTGCGGTACATTATTTCTTCATTTTGGTCCATTATTATTTTTCCTTTTGGGTCCATTTCGCTACATTATAACTCCGTTTCGGTACATTTAGGTAAATAGACTACACTTATATTGTCATCTGATATCAAAATTCTGTTACGAGTGAAGGAGGTTACATGTAGCGTCAGTTGTGTCTACTTCTCCGAGATAACAACTGAGTATATGAAAAATATATACATGCATTAAAAATGTTTAACCCTTCCAGAGCACCTGGGATCAACCCCGGTTTTTTTGGTGGGGTTCGTGTCGCTAAGGCTTGAGTTTTTGATGTTGTGTTTTGTAGACCGTTGTCTGTCTTTTCGTCGTTTTTCGTTTTTTTTGCCAAAGTGTTGTCAGATTGTCTTCAAATTATGAGTTTGAACATCCCTTTGGTCTCGTCCGCCTAACTTTTTGGGTTTATAGCAGTTATCAAGATTTAACTACAAATACGCATTGTCAGAAAATATAGCAGTTATCTGTACTCGCCATGAACATGAGAAAGGGGTATTGTATGACTTGTTAATTTTTTTAGAGATGAATTATATGTTCGTATCATGTATATGGGTATTTTTATTGTGTATAAATCTGTCGGTTCTCTTCATAAAAATAATGGCTATTATATCTAGGGTTCTCGCATATAATTTACCTGTAACATCGACCGCTGGACGTTCAGAAATCAACACTCAAGAATATAATTATAGCTCTACAATCAATATGATTTTCTTACTACAACAACCCTAAAAAAAACAGCGAAGAAAAACCGCCATGAAAATATGTAACTTTAAAGGGATTATTATTATGCTTGTTATGTAAATATTATTACAACCCTAAACCTTTAATTCATTTTATAAAATTATTTGTATTCACTGTGTTCAAGAAACTAATATACATGCTATACATGATGTATTATATCATGTATATAGCCAATCTTTTAAAATAAGAACTCTTAAATCTTACTCGCATATTTACAC